GAGAACACCAACGTGCGGCCTGGGTACCGCGACAGGAAATAGTAAAGATACAAGTCCTAAAAATGCAATTAAAAAGAGTGAAACCATTTTTTTTTTTTTTTTGCGTCCTTCTTTTTTCGTTTAAAATGACTGTCGTCCAAGTGATTGTATTAATCTTGCTTTCCCGCGCTTTACATCAAGTACATGAATTTGAGCTTAGCAATCATTAACTCAGCAATAATTTTTTAGCGTAATAGGATTAACAATAACTGAGAGAGTGGTTACATTTGAAACTTGTTAGAAGTCAACGTTGTGTGTGAGAAGTTGTTGGAACTTCTTCCGAACTTCTTAGCCAATCAACAGCGGCACGTGCACGTCAAGCAGTCACAAAAACGATGGTACATCGATGTACATGTAGTTTAGGAAACTGTTAAGGTTACTTCAAACCTTCGCGGGAGTCCTCCAGAAAAAAATTCGTACGCGCGCTGTTTTCAAGGAAACCGCCACAAACCATATATCAACAGAAAGGTTATAAAATGTAGAATTCGATAAAATTATGTTTTGTTTTGGATTTGGCTTTCCAAAGGCGGCAGAGGTCGTCAACTCCAAAATGACCGACTGACGTTCCAGCGAATTAATCGGGTATCAAATGCGATCGTTCATGCAAAATAACTGTGCAGTGTTAATCACATAGCCTCAATCTCCAAAAACGTGCCAGCATTTTCTTTTATTTCTATTGGTTATCTTTTTATAGATCTGTCAAGTTCGACTATCGCAAATTCGCGTGACCTGTTACGTTAAAGGCCGCCACGAGGAAAGTATTCAAAATGTAGGAATTCGCCGACACCCTTTTGTTCCATATCTATCAGTGAATGTTCTGACCAGCAGGGTCCGAAATTAACCTTTTCAGGCAGGCGCCAACTGGCGACTGAAATTTTTTTTTCAGTCGCCATATGGAAAAATGTGGTCGCCAAAAAGTGTCAATAAAATTTTTCCTTCGCAGCGAAACGCAAACCAAAATTTTTGGTCGCCAGATGGAAAATTCTGCTCGCCAATTTTTCTTTTAAGAATCGGAACGAAGAGAACGCGTTTGGGACCGCAATGATGGCGATTTTTCCGCTAACGATAAGATTAAATACAAACACGCTGATTATTTATACACCTACATCTGCATACCCTATTAATTCATTTAAAGAGAAGGGATTCTCTCGAAAAACGAGTGCGAGTTTTCGCCTTCCAAAGATTGATAAACATATCACGCCTTCTCAGAGGAAAGTGTCAACTTGAGAGCCGCAAGCCAATGAAATAACAGAACCCCTAGCGTTCACAGTATGCAAACTTGTGCTTCGCGGACATTAATTTTCTTGACCAAAAAAAAATCGACCAATATAGCCCCGCGAAGGTTTGAAGTAACCTTAAATCTCCCAAACCTTTTCATCAAGTGAACATGAAATCTTTGTCTCTGTCAGGGTCTCCACTGTTCCTCTTTTATTGGTGACATCAATGACTTTGCAGCTAGTCTTGTGCAGTCTGACTTTGTCCATTAGCGACACTAAAAAGAAACAAACACGTAACCGTTGACTCCCTCTAGTCTTTCAACATCTCTGTGGCAAAGGGGGAAACCACGCATTGAGCACCGTTATATGCGCTCAAAAAATATTATCTACCATTATGATTACCGTTATGATTAAGCGCCGTCCTTTCTAAAAGTCGCTCCCCTCGTTTCCCATTTTTATAACAAGCGTCCCTTATTATTGCTCCGTCCCGTCCCGTTCCATCCCGTCCCGTTCCATTCTTCCAGTTAACGCCCCCACAACCTATGTGACATTCAAGGCATTTTATAGAATAGACTGACTAGACAAACGAATTAATCCAGATGTTGAATTTCAAAAGGGAACGAAATGAGCGCCTGGTCCCTATTAAGCGGCCACTCTGCAATAAGCGTCCTCCCTTGAACTGCCAAACATCAATTAGCGACACGGGCGCTAAATCGAATCATTAAGGTAACTATATTAATATTACAATTTTCTAAATGTATTCAAGAGTACAAACTATTGGAAACTGTGGCCGATCTGTTCCTTACGATTAAATCGTTCATTAGCGTATTAGAGGGAATATCATTTCACAAGATCACTTTTGACTGTTTGAAACCGACGACTTCCTAGGACTTTTTGCCTCAGAAATTATCGCAGTTGACATTTTACAAATCGACGGTTGCAATTTTATGGGAATGCCAAGACAGTTATTTTTATTCTCTGTTTACTACTGCTGCGGTCTAATCGCTATAGGAGCTGAGGGTGTATTGTGATGAATTAGACTCTTGCCGACTGTATAAGAGCGCACGAAAATTCTCTTAGATAGCGTAAAACATACGTTTTCAAGGAAGCACTAAACTAAGCGTTCTTAGTTTACGCATTGGGTGATTTTCACGTGGACTGTACCTAGAGCTTCTCCTTTGGAAATCTTCTTCTCTTTTCCTTTTCTTTTGAATGATTTAGGAAGAGTCAAAGTCGCGGAGAAGATAAACTTTTGCAGAGTTCTTTTCTTCACAGTTCCTGACGCCTCTTCATCATCGCTGTTAAGAAAAAGATAAATCGACATTGAGTAAATATCATCAAATAACTCGTTTCATTTAATCGAATTGCATTAGAGCGGTTTTCAATTGAATTGAGTGACGGAAAACCAAAACCAACATTATCACTGTAACCAATCACAAAGGACACAGACAATCCAATGAACCAATCAAAACTCGAAGTAAATAAATGTAGCTGATGCGAAGCGCGGGAAAACGTGTGTGCGCGCGAGTCACGATTGGTTTTGGTTTTACTTCTGATTGGATGAAAAAGTGACGGGAGTTTTTTAAGCCAATCATGTGTGTAGTAATGCAAACCAATTACTTCCGACACTCACATGAAAAGCGCTCAGTCATCAAACGTGTTCGATCATGTAAATATATCCTACTAAGTGACACCTAGCAGAAAGCTCTCCAGATACCTAGTAGTTCACCCGATAAATTACATGTGACAAGTAGATTGTATTTCTTACAAATTCATTGTCACCGAAAGTTGATGATCAGCATTATACATGTATTCAAGATAATACGACCATGAACCAGAAATCCATTTGTTTGACTACAATAAAATAATAAAACTTATAAAAGCTGGAGCACCATTTCGCACAAAGTGTAAATGTCAGTAATGGAAAGTCAAGGCTGCTTTTCTGCAACTTAAATTAAATTATTATTGTGACTGCGAGAGGTTGAAGTACGTGTACATGTACATTATTGCACAGGCTCTATTAAAACACATGTTTCACCTTGGCCTATGGATGAGATCCAAAATTGAGGACAGCTCTTGAAAATGTCCCTGTTCTACCATCCTGTCGGCCTCATCAATCACAAGGTACCTCAAGTCCTCCAACCGGCTCACATGCTCTTCACCCTAAAATCAAATGACATGTACATGTAAAGGTATGGTGGAAGAGTTGAAATCTTCTCCTGTGTACTACTGGTACTTAAGGCATGGCATTACAAATATCCATGTACCATGTGTTATGACTTTCATAGGGAAGGTAATATCATACTACAGGGGTTTCATTAAGGGTTGAGCACAAGGACAAGTTGACTGGTTGTGAGGCATCGATTTTGCCCACCTTGAAAATGACCATCAAGAGGAAAGTTCCTCTTATATTTATTGAGACTGTAGTTCCAAAAGTTTTGCCTGCCTGTGAAAACCAGTTACGCTACTGCTGTAATCGTTAATGAACCTCTAAAAATTATGTTATACATACATGTATACATTTACATACAGATTCAAAACATTTCAAAACTTAATGAGATCCTTTAGCCTGAAGGCATGACTCAGTTTCTTTTACAGCTCCATTTCGTCAGGCAATTTATAGTACTGTGGAACATGCACCTTTTTACAGCTGAGTCTTGACTAATACATGTAGACTTAATAACATCTGTATATCTTACTTGAAGTACATACTTACCTCTGAAATCAGGTCCCATAATCTTCCAGGAGTTGCCACAATTATTTCAGGACACTTTCGTAGTAGCCTCTGTTGTTTCTGAGGTGCCATTCCACCGACCACGGCTACAATCTTGGAAGCCAATAATACATGTAATTTTCAAATTATACATTTTTGATGTTACATATGTATGAATATTATTAGTAACAATTTATTTTTCTACTACATTTAATTTATCATGAGCTGGAAGTTGCTAAATTAGGAGTAATAAAGTTGGGACT